TCCATGATGTTAATTTAATTGTATCATGCAAACAGGTGTCCGAGTTTTGGGGAATGACATCATTTTTCCTTCAGCAGGGCAGAAAATGAAATGAAAAGCAAGCAGGAATTATTTTCTAAGGTTTAAATCACCTTCTCCTCAAAATAAAAAGGGTTTGAAAGAGTCAACAAACAAGCACTTACCACTTTGAACAAGCCTCTGTGCAGTGTTACTATGGAGTAATTATATTCCTAGATTTACACAAAAGCAGCCATTTCAAGTATATACTGACATAATCTCTCTTCTTTCCTCAAATAGTAAAAAAATACCCACTTTCCTCAAATAGTAAAAATATCCACCATTGGTAACTGAGAATTCTGAATCTCTCTGTATTCTGTTTTCAATAACCTCTGTGCACATTATACATAAACTATTTTATACCTCATTCTTATCAATTACAGAGTTAAATGAAAATATTTTAGGTCTGTGCAATGCTTAGATGCTCAGTCATGTCCAACTCTTTGTGAGCCCATGGACTATAGCCCAACAGGCTCCTCAGCCCATGGGATTCTCCAGGTGAGAATCCCGGAGTGGGTGGTTAATGCCCTTCTCCAGGGGATCTTGCGAACACAGGAATCAAAACACAGTCTCCTACATTGCAGGTGGATTCTTTACCAGCTGAGCTACCAGGGAAGCCCATTTTAGTTCTACATTTGATTAGTTATAAGCTATTAAGCAATAATATTTTTTACAAAATCCCATTATTTCACAATAACAAAAGAGACCACTGGCATAGGCATCCAGAAATCATTGATGTATCTAACTTAAATGAGAGGCTTCCTCTAGAGATTTCCTCATTAAATGTCCTACTGAAGATAATGCTTATATTTTCGGGGCCTACAGCATCTAGACAAGTATGAAAAGTGGTCTTAGTGTCTACTGCATGCAAGCCATACTAAACTGAAACCGATTAAGATTTCTAAAGTGGGTAAAATCAACAGCATATAAAATTAATACAAATATGTATGAGTAACATAGGCATATAAAATAAACCACATTAATAAAAATAAATTTCATATGCAAGTGATTGGTTCCTCAATGTTCCCTTTTTAGTAGTCCCAAATGAGAAACCAAAATTAGGTGGGCATAACAAAGCTTAACGTTCTTGTGTAAACACATTAAGACTGTTACTTCACATAGAAGAGTAGTTATAAGATTTTTTTTAAATGCTAATAGACAAAAACATTAAAATATGTTGGATATTTAATATCACCTACGATACTGGAGACCCACTCCAGTGTTCTTGCCTGGAGAATCCCAGGGACAGAGGAGCCTGGTGGGCTACCGTCCATGGGGTCGCACAGAGTCGGACACGACCGAGCAACTAACACACACACACACAGGATAAATCAAACTTTGAATTTTTTTTAATGTTTCAGGAAATTACCTTTAAAGTGATTTCCTTAATTTTCAAATGCACCATCAGAAGGTATTAGATAAGTCTAGGCTAAATTATACAAAAATTACTAATGAACCCAGAGAAGTGATTCTAAAAGCAGATTTGGAGTGTTTTTTTTACCTGTTTTAAGACTGATTTTGCTCTCTAAACAATGTTATCAAAAACAAAATTAATGACATATGATCATTTACTTATTGAAGGAAAGAAAGCTATGAAAGGAGTTAACTTTCCAATCCTCCCTACTCCTAACATCTGCATTGAACCTAGGACCAGCGAATTACACATGCAAAAGCAAGTTGCTATGTGACATAGACTAGCAGTTAAAAGCAGTGTTTTGGAATAATGGACTTCACTGCCCATGAGGTTTAAAGAAACAACCTCTCTGCATTCTCACTTGTAAAGGTGGGAATACTAGTAGGTCCTTTATATCACAAGGACTAAATGTGGTGATAGTGATAAAGAATCCACCTGCCAATGCAGGAGACTCAGGTTTGATTCCCAGGCTGGGTAGGTCTCCTGGAGAAGGAATGGCAAGCCACTCCAGTATTCCTGTCTCTGTCCATGCCCATGGAGAGGAGCCTGGAGGGCTACAGTCCATGGGGTCGCAAAGAGTTGGACACGACTGAGTAGAGCACAAGCATGATAACACAAATAAGGCACTGGGCCACTGCCTGTCACACAGCACTCAAACTCTGTTCCCATCTAATACACATACAGCAGAAATAGAGATGTGTGTGCGCCAGTCTGCACACCTACATATTTCCTAACTCTGTCTGCAGAGAGGACCTAGAAGCACTGGTACTTTGTGGTGGACTGAGCACACCTACTGCCCAGGTCTTTGGTCCGGTTCTAAACACGAGTCTCCTAACGAAAAGCGTCAGGATTCCTCGCAAAAGTGGTTGCTTCCGAGGCTGGGAAAAGGACAATACAAGACTAGAACCTCTTGTGGTGCCAGAAAATGAGGACATGCTCAGAAAGCAAGGGGGGGGGGGGGGGGGGCGTGTCTGAAAGACACAGGCGCCAGCCTGATGAGGTCCTGCGGCCAAGCTGGAACAACACAAGCAACACCATGATAACAGCACTGAACTATAACCTGCAGAGCAAATATCCGTTAGTTCATACTGATGCAAACAGGTAAAACGGTGGCCAAAGGCCAGCGCTTCCTTAGAGGAGAATGTGTGCAAGCTTAGCCGCCCAGTTGTGCCCGACTCTGTGACCCCACGGACTCCTGGACGGCAGCCCACCAGGCTCCCCCGTCCATGGGATTCTCCAGGCACCAATAATGGAGTGGGGTGCCATTTTCTTCTCCGGGGGATCAGAAGAATCCAAACGATTAAATGTGGAAGGAAAGAAAACAGAAAACCACCACTATGCAACTATCACAGTAACAACTGTTGCAGACGAGATCCACCAACAGATACTAAAATTAGTATGCAAAAGGTTGAGGAAACACAGGAGATTTATTGGTTACACTGAGAAAAATAACTCAGAGGAGAAATCTGGCAGATAAGGGTTAGTGTGTTAACATCATGAAGCCCCTTACGCGATGCGCTGAGAAGGATACAATATCACTTGTATGCTCCTCTTGCCAGAAACGCATTCATTACCTTAATCTAACCATGAGAAACTACCAGACAAACCTAAGGTGAGGGACATTCTACAAAATGACTTAATTCTCTTTCAGAAGTGTCAAGGTCACAAAAAGTGAGAAAAACATTGAGAAACTGGCATAGATTGGAGGAGGTTAAAGAGACATTCCAAATAAATGTAAGGTGAGATCTTAGACTGGATCCTGGAACATAAAAAGGATGTAAGTGGGAAACCTGGCAAATCCAAACAAGCTCTGTCATTTAGTTAATAGTATTGCACTAATGCTCACTTCCCAATGAATTATACCATAACCACGTAAGATATAAAAGGCATACACAAACTTAATTTTCTCACTTTTCTGTCAGTCCAAACTTATTTCAAAATGAGGGTTTTTTCTTTTTTTTAAATGAGATATATACAGTCATCCCTCAGTACTTGCAGGGGATGGGTTCCCAGACCTGCAGCCAATACCACAATCCACATATCCCCCAGTGCCATAGCTGGCTCTCCTATTGGAGAGCTCCACATTCCAGGACTCAGCCAGCCCCAGACTGTAAGTCCAGTAGCATATGCACTGGAAAAGGTCCCCAAATGAGTGGCACACAGCTCAAAGCCACGTTGCTCAAGAGTCTAGACAACATATTAGCTTTTTATTTTCTCTTAAAATCATTAAGTCACCCACCTCATAGAATATTGGAAATAAAAGCAAAAATAAACAAATGGGACCTAATGAAACTTAAAAGCTTTTGCACAACAAAGGAAACTATAAGCAAAGTGAAAAGACAGCCTTCAGAATGGGAGAAAATAATAGCAAATGAAGCAACAAAAGATTAATCTCAAAAATATACTAGCAACTCCTACAGCTCAATTCCAGAAAAATAAATGACCCAATCAAAAAGTGGGCCAAAGAACTGAACAGACATTTCTCCAAAGAAGACATACAGATGGCTAACAAACACATGAAAAGATGCTCAACATCACTCATTATCAGAGAAATGCAAATCAAAACCACAATGAGGTACCATTACACGCCAGTCAGGATGGCTGCTATCCAAAAGTCTACAAGCAATAAATGCTGGAGAGGGTGTGAAGAAAAGGGAACCTTCTTACACTGTTGGTGGGAAGGCAAACTAGTACAGCCACTATGGAGAACAGTGTGGAGATTCCTTAGAAGACTGGAAATAGAACTGCCATATGACCCAGCAATCCCACTCCTGGGCATACACACCCAGGAAACCAGATCTGAAAGAGACATGTGTACCCCAATGTTCATCACAGCACTGTTTATAATTGCCAGGACATGGAAGCAACCTAGATGCCCATCAGCAGACGAATGGATAAGAAAGCTGTGGTACATATACACAATGGAATATTAAAAAGAATTCATTTGAATCAGTTCTAATGAGATGGATGAAAATGGAGCCCATTAAATAGAGTGAACTAAGCCAGAAAGATAAAGACCAATACAGTATACTAACACATATATATGGAATTTAAAAAGATGGTAACGATAACCCTACATGCAAAACAGAAAAAGAGTCACAGATGTACAGAACAGACTTTTGGACTCTTTGGGAGAAGGCGAGGGTGGGATGTTCTGAGAGAATAGTATTGAAACAAGTATACTATCAAGGGTGAAACAGATCACCAGCCCAGGTTGGATGCATGAGACAAGTGCTCGGGCCTGGTGCACTGGGAAGACCCAGAGGGATGGGATGGAGAGGGAAGCGGGAGGGGGGATCGGAATGGGAAACACATGTAAATCCATGGCTGATTCATGTCAATGTATGGCAAAAACCACTACAATATTGTAAAGTAATTGGCCTCCAACTAATAAAAATAAATAAATACAAAATAAAAAATCACCAATTCATGCTAAAATATTCTTTAGTTGCTGAAGCTAGAACTTCTATCTCTAAAAACCTTGGCTTTAAAAAATGTAATCAATAAAACACATTACAGATCTCATTACCTGTAATTTTATATCCATAAGCAGCCAGTTGTCCAGCCATGTATTCTCCATCTGAATTATTATGAGAACAACCCCAAGTTCGTATCCAAATTTTCTGTATGCCTGGAATAGTGCTGTTAATCAATTTTAAAAAATAAGTCTCATTAAGGGATTTTTTTAAAATAAAAAGCACTAGTTAATTTCTAGGCATATTATGCAAAAACACTCAGTGCATTCTATTCATAAGTTATTCATTAAAAGTACCAACTTAATACATAATCTGCTGTTACACCAAAAGTCTAAAATCAAGATAAAATAACAGTATAAAATTCTAAGACTCTCTTTCTATGTGAAGAATATCTTTTCTATAAGTTGTATTTTAAGTTCAATACTACTAAATACTACCAGTAAGTTCAACTCTTGGAAAGGTACAAACAACAATAGCACAGAAAATGGTTCTAGCAGCAACAGCAAATAAAGAAAACCTAAACACATCTAAAGACTACTGTATACTAACCACACTCTTTATAACTTAGATATAAATAACTGAATCAAAATGAAAATCTGTCACCCTACAGCACTATTAATAATAAAAGTATTCCACATATAGAGTTCTAAAAAATGTAATTTTTAGAAAGGGAATAAAAGGACTCTCAACTTGGATTGCCATAAATAATTAACAACTAACTAGACATTACGTTTAATGATATGTTCAAGACAAATTTAATAAATTTCAGGCATTAAAATAACTAAATTTAAATTCATAGACTATGACTCTGTTCCAAATAACCAAATGTATTAAAATGTTCAAGTTTACTAGATATACAAATATAAGCATGTTAAAACTATATAACTGCATAATCCTTTCTGGCTAGGTTGTATTAGAATTTCACTAGACATCTAACAGTGCAAACAGCACAAGAATTTGTGTCCAAAGCCTTTAGTTAATTCATAAGGACTTTAAATGTGCTAAGAAAAACCACATGCTCAAACCACCGCTATCTCGTAAGAATCACAAATTCCAATAAAAATATTAATGCGGAAGTAACAAGAACATAACAACCACAGTGATATCAAAGAGATCTGGCCAGAGGAGGGTGGGAGGCAGGGAGATCTATCTTTGTGCCAAATACTGCCCTAGGCCAATATGCAATTCGACACCTTTAATTTATGACTTTGCTAAATATAACCATTCAAATTTTTAAAAACCCTACATATTTCCTTTCAAAACTTCAAAGATTCTTTTAAAAGATACATTATGTATATCACATACAGTAGTGTCAGCCTCTCCCATGGTACGATGCTGAATATAATTTCAAAAAAAGCTTACCTATCACTTGGTGGACTGTTTTCCTCTTGCAAATATTTTTGGGTATTTCGCCTTCGCACCTTTGGAACAACGTGCTTTCTCGAAAAATGCCTATCTTGTGGCTTTGAATCTTCTTGTGACACAATATCTTCTATGTCATCCAGGAATGTATCACAGGATGCAGAAGGCATCTTCTCTATCGTATAAACAAGTTATAAATGATACAGGCATGAGTCCTCAGAACATCTGTTTAACATAGCACCTATGAAATATTCTTGCCAAACTTGAATCTAATAAAGCCTTTAGATTTTTACTTCAACTTTACAGAAAATACAAGAGATACTGAAAAACAAGAAACATCGGATAAATCAGACAAATCTTACTGAGTGGGACATAAAGCACATGGAAAGAGATTTAACGTTATCAGCAATCAAAGAAATACAAACTAAACCACAATGAGAAATCACTACAAACCTGTAACACACCACAGCACGCATACCACCTGTCAATTACAGGCGTCCTCTCTCCCCAGGCGCAGCAATGGCGCACGTGACCCACACCTGCCAGAGTAATTCACCCCGAGCCACAAAGACCGGCTCAGGGTTGGACGTAACACGCCCAGTCAGTCACAATCACCACGAGGAGTTCCACGCCAGTGCTAACTTCTCTTTCACTGAAGTGGCTCAGTTAGGAGGATGTCAACTTGAGGCTACTGGGGGGCCATCCTGCCTGCCACAAAGCAGAAGAAGACCCAAGGCAGGAAGTCTTATAAGAGCTGGAGAGATAAGATACTTGAGCAGCTGGATCCAACCAATGCCTGAAGCCAGACATAGCCCTGCTCTGCCCATTCATGTGAGCTCAGGAATTCCCCGAGGCTTAAATTCATTTGAGGTGGGCTTTCTGCTCTTGCCAACAAGAGCCCTGGCTGACTCAGCACACTAGGGAAGGTGAAATGACCTAAGTTTCTTCCAAACTGGTTCTATGAACTATCAGTGAAAAACTAGTTCTGTGGTCAAATAAATTTGGAAAATTCTGCCTCTCACAGACTCCCAGGATGTGTGTGCATCCATGTATGTATATACTATGAGAGCAAGACTGGGAAGAACTACAGTAAAGAAACAAATTCATTTATCTTAGTTTCTGAAACTTAATTTCTCATGGACTGCCTCTTCATGAGGCTGTAGATGGTACTGAAAACAGGAGGCCTGAGTGAAGCCCACCCTCAGATCCCCCCCTACATTCCGCAGACAGAAGACGGCATTCTCTAATAGGAAATGATCCTTTGCCCACATACCAACCTGTTACTAGGAACTACCCACCCTCTAAGAACCACCCCTCTCCTCTAACCTGCTTGAGCACAGAATTCTAGTCATGCTCCTCCCTACCTAATCACTAATTGTATACGGCTACTGTTATTTCTCCCATTTAAAAAAACAAAAACCTTATCGTGGCCTCACTTCCTCTACCACCACATTTCTCCACCACATTTCTATCCTTTAAAACTCCTTGCAAGAACTGTCTCGTTTCCCCCTCCCAGTCTCTCATATGCCAGGCTTTCACCCCCACCACCCCAAAATTGCTGACCTGATTCAGTGACTCGCAGCGATATACGTAACAGTCAGCTCTCAGCCATCTCATGTGATCCTACCAGCGGCACTTGACATTACTGACCCTTCATTCCCTCAAGGTATCTCCTTCCCTGGCTTTTGGGGTCCCACACGCTGAGTTCTCCTCCTACTGCATTAGCCCCTCCCCAAGTCTCCGTGGCCCGTTCCTCATCTCTCCAACTTCTCAAGGTCAGAACACCTCCAGGGCTCCGTTACAGGCGCACCCTAGGTGATCTCATACAGCCTTGTGGCCTTGAAATACTAACTATATGCTTATATAACCAGTCCCAGGCCTCCCTTGAACTTCAGACTCAGATGTCCATCCAACTGCCTACTCAACACCCTGCTTGAATGGCTAGGAGTTACTTCAAACTTAAAATCAAAAACAGAACTCCTGATTCTCACCCCACCTGCAGCCAGGAGGAACACACAGATCCTCCCATGACTTTCTCCACTCACTGAAAGGCAATACCAACCTTCTAACCTCTCAGGCCCCAAATCCTGGCATCATCCCCAACTCCTCTTTCCTTCACCCTAAGTCCAATACATCAGCAAAATCCCATTGGCCTGAGCTTCCAAATATATTCAGAATCTAACCATTTCCGATCATACCCACTGTTACATTCTTGGTCCCAACATTAACTCTTGCCTGGATTACTGTCATAGTCACCTTGCTTCTACCCTCAATTCCCAAAGGAATCTTGCTGCACATAAGCCAGGGATCCCTCTAAAACCTAAGTTCTACTCAGGTTTCTGATCAAAACCTTCCACTGGTATTCCATCTCAGAGTAAAAAGCCCAGAGTTAAAACCGTTACTAAGTTCTACAAGGACAAGGGGCTTTCCTGGTGGTTCAGTGGTAAAGATCCAGAATTCACCTGCCAATACAGGAGACACGGGTTCGATCCCTTCTTGTCCAAAAAGATCCCACAAGATTGCCATGGAGCAACTAAGTCCATGTGCCACAAATACTGATACTGTGTTCTAGAGCCGGGGAGCCACAACTACTGACGCCCGTGCACCCTAGAGCCCATTCTCTGTAACAAGAGAAGCCACAGCAGTGAGAAGCCCGTGCACTGCAACAAAGAGTAAGCCCCACTCTCTGCAACCAGAGAAAAATCCATGGAGCAACAAAGACCCATCACAGCCAAAAATAAATAAAACTATATTTTAAAAGAATTCTACAAGGACATACTCAGCTTCCTGCCTCAGAAAAGTGGAAGTGACAGGACACCACTCCCACTCTCCTGCCTCATTCTAAAACAGGAGGGAAGGCGGCAGGGCACAGCTGTGGAAAGAACGACTTAGCCACAGAACACACTGCTAAGAACCAACTAGGTCTGAGGTGGCAGAAGACTCAGCTCCCAGTGGGCCTTGGGCCTCACAGGCTCCCTAGACTCCCGGCAGCTCAGAGCTAACAAAGGCTGAAAAGCAGCCCAGCTCCTGGAAATCCCCACCCCTTCCCCAGAATAAGTGGAATAATCCTGTTGCTCACTAGCCTATGAAATTAGAGGCTGGTGGTTGAGTCGCTACGTCATGTCCAACTCTTGCGACTCCACGGACTGTAGCCTGCCAGGTCCCTCTGTGCATGGGGTTTCCCAGGCAAGAATACTGGAGTGGGTTGCCATTTCCTTCTCCAGGGATCTTCCCGACTCAGGAATCAAACATACATCTCCTGCATTACAGGCAGATTCTTTACCAACTGAGCTACAAGGGAAGCCCATGAAATTAGCCTATGAAATTACCCAGACATAAACACTAACCACACCATATTTTGGGGCCTCTTACCTTCTGATAAGGTCCTCATTCTGTGGAGTGTGTTTCTCTCTAAATAAACCCACTTCTTACCTATTACTATGTCACTCACTGAATTCTTTTGATAAGAACAACATGAGCTTCTTAAGAGTCCTGAGACCAGGTATGTGTTACGAGCTAGTCGCTTGGTCGTGTCCGACTCTTTGCAACTCCATGGACTGTAGCCCACCAGGCTCCTCTCTCTGTCCACGGAATTCTCCAGGCCACAGTACTGGAGTGGGTTGCAATTTCCTTCTCCAGGGGATTTTCCCAACCCAGGGGTCGAACCCCTATCTCCTGCATTGCAGACAGATTCTTTACCATCTGGGCCATTGGGGAAGCCCTGAGACCAGGTGCTTGATCTCAGTTAAGACTGTGGGTTCAAGTCCCAGTCTGGGTTCTGGCCGGGTCTGGGCCCCAGCCCGTGGATTCAAGGGCTGTGCATCTGAGGTGCACAGTTTCAACTCCACTTGGACACATGGGCTTTCTGGCTAGCTCACACCCACCAGGCACACACTAATCTCAAGGTCTTGATCATGCCTGGAATGCCTTCAAGCCCTTTGGAACTCTGTCCAAATGTCACCAGCGAGGTCTTTCTGAACAACCCCCACCTCACCACGTACACACACCTCCTGCCCCCCTCCCCCCAGCCTTGCTTTCGTACCATAGCACTTCCCCACATGCTTAGATACTAAACAGGAGCAAACCTGCCACCCGAAAATGTCTCTTTGCCATGTGGATTATTTTGAGCTGAAGACAAATCAAGGCCAGGAAGAAACTTTGACCCTCCTTCTAATTGCTAAAAGAATGTAAAGAAAGACATGTTTCAGGAAGGGATGCGATCCCCATAGATAACTATAGTATGAACTATGTGCACAGATGGGGAGGAACCAGGCAAAGTCTGTTAAAACTATTACCAAACATTTGCTTTTCCATCTCACGGCAACTGCCTTCCTCCCCTTTGAGGTCCCAAATCACTACCCCCCAAGATCTTTTGTCTTTAGCTGAAGACAATATTTAAGGTAAGAGTTGCAGCCATTTTGGCAAGTTACTCAGTTTCCCTGGGTCTGTCCCATGTATGTGAAAGTGTTAGTTGCTCAGTCATGTCCCACTCTTTGCAATCCCATTGACTATAGCTTGCCAGGCTCCTCTGTCCATGGAGGAGAGAAGTAGGTATCCACTCATTCTTCTCCAAGCCAAAATACTGGAATGAGTAGTCATTCTCTTCTCTAGGGAATCTTCCCAACCAGGGATCAAACCCAGGTCTCCCATATTACAGGCAGATCCTTTACCCCCCTGAGTCACTAGGGAAGTTCATGTATACATGCCACATGCTACTAAACTTTTGTTTGATTTTCTCCTGTTAATCTGTCAATTTAATTCTTAGACCAACCAGAAGAACTGAGAACTGTAGAGGAAAATTTCTTCCTCCATGACAGTATCTTCATCATCTTATTACTCTCTTTCTACTAGGATATATACTCTGGGGGTGGGGAGGTTTTTGAGTGTTTTGTTCACTGCTTTATCCCAGGTGGTGCCTACAATTACCTAGCGTACTGCAACTTCTCAAAAAAAATTTTTTTTGTGTCCACAACCCAGTCTACAAAACATGGTCCCTCTGCCACCTTCCACTCTGCCCCAACTGTAATAACCTTTCCGACATTCTCCAAGCAGACCAAGCTAGTTACTGACTCAGGGCCTTCACACTTGCTCTTCCTCTGTCTGGAATATCATCCCCAGATATTTGGATGGCTTGCTGCTTACTCCTTTACTCAAATAACACCTCCTTGGA